AAAATAAGTGGCAGTCGTTGATTGTCGCATTCGCCTTCACTTCATAGTCAGTAGCTCTCGGTACTTTGGGTTACTTTGTTTGAACGTTCTTGTTTCGCCAGAACATATCCTCAAAGGTCCTAATGTCAGCAAACAACTGTACTTCATTGTACTTACGCCATATGGATCATTTCGCGTTCCCTCCTTGTTTCTTTCTGTATTCTGTTTATGTTCGATTTACCGTTGTCTATTTTCGTTATATTCATGTTCTTCAACATTTTCCCATTGTTTTAAAGCATGTGTAATATTAATAAGTCCCATGGAAGTAGTAATATATATGTTACTGATATATACGGAGCTATATTAATCATGAAAATTATATCTCCCCGCTAAGTGTTACGTTTATTTATGCGTTCTATGTATTTGTCTATGCAAATCTATCCCTTTTTTGAATGGCTTCCTTTCGTGATTTCTTCTAAAGAGCATAATGATTCAACTTCAAGACAAACTGCATAAAAAATCGATTTACTTTTTTGTCTGCAAGTAAGTTTATTTTCAAACGTATCAGCATACGATTTCGATATTACACAAAAAATTCATATAGTATTCAAATTGTATCTTGACTGTAAAAAAATTCATATTTGTGGTTGACAGAAATATGGTGAAGGTAAAAAGGAAGATTTGTAGCCTTCAGAATATCGGGCTTCCGTATACTTTTCTGATGACTATCCTTTTCTTCATGTATAAAATGGTGAGTCTTTTGAGTCTAATCACCATTTGCATGCCATCAACCAGTAGTAGCTATGTGACAAGCATGGTGTTTGGTCTCCTGTTTCCTTCCCACAGAGTGGTACTCATTTATCAACCTCAAATGGGAGAAGAGCGAGTGATCCCAACCAGGTCACGAACCCAGGACCTCTCGGTTATGAGTCTGACGTTGTACGACTGAGTAACTCTGATGTAAAGCGAAATGCGGTAAATTCCTTGCTCAAGGTAATTCGTGGTATGTTGTACCCTCACCCTAAACGAACTCACACTGCGGAGCGTGAAGCCGACCCGTTACGCTCTGTGCCACCATGGCAGTAGCTGTGCAGCTAGGTATCTAACTGTCTATCACAATTGAAACGAACTAACGATCATTCATAAAACTGTGCCTCAAGTCGTGGACAGTGGAACACGTTTCACAATTCAGCGTGAACCACTATAGAAAAAAATCTGCCTATCATATCCATTAAAAAGGTGGAGACGCATTTTAAAGATATTGCAAACAATGAAACATCATATGCATTTCCTGCTCCCTGACATTTACGGCAAGGCTGAATTTGAACGGAATAATACTCATTCAGTACTCTCAAGGAAAGATAGAAAATAACCGCCAATACTTCTATCACGGCAAACAATGCAAACTGCTGTTTTGCAAAATTTACAGCCCATAGGTACATTATGAGAAGCCACTTTACGTTTGCGAAAAAGGAATAAAAACCAGCATTACAACTCTGAAAATTGAACAACCTGCAATGTCTATCAATAAGAACAATAGCAGAGATGTGAATTTGAGTCTTGCTGTCACAAACCAATTAAAAACTGTTATTACATTTGATTTATTATGCTTTTCGAATGAATTTTACTGACATGCATAAGAAAGGACAAACCATAAGTGAGCGACTAATTAGCCCTTTATAGGTGCTCCTCGATGTTCATTGGTCTAGCGTCACTTTACATCGCCATTAACATCTTACATTTCCGGTTCCGAGACGACCGCTCTCTCGCTCTCTCTATGGTTCTGAAACGAGAGGTCTCTTGTCGTTTGTGATTCTTTTTCTGGTGACAGCTGCCCTGGGGAACGGAAGGTACGTAAACGTGTGTTTCGTTCACTATGCGTATGCTCACAGTATGATTTTATCCCTCTCCCAGCAGTAGTCTATTGACGTATTCAGAGAGGTGTCTGAACGATTCATGGTTTTTGGCACCAAATACCACAGATGGCAAATAAACAGTTTAT